ACTACTAGCAAACATTACCAATCGCAACACACCACCACACACAAAAACCACCAACTACAACGGGCCTAGTGGGCTCATGTTGTCAAGCACAAACAAACACTGGCAACAACTCTGGCTACAGTGACGATGGCTTAAGCTATCACAAAAAAATTACCACCAATACTTTGGCTGCATTTGAGCACGGACAACGCCATTGTCACTGTCGCTGGAGCAATGCTATTCTCAAAGTTGTCATCACAAGAAATACCATTTTTAAACTAATCAAAGCTCAAAGGCATCACGCGGCGCTCACAATGTCACCGCAAAGGCGTTGCTCTAAGCAGTGGCTAGCAAAACTTTGAACAAAAGGAGAATAGCAAGGTGTCATTAGCGCATCAGAGGCATCGTCGACGGTGCCTCCTGTGTGATGTGTGGTGGCGATCATTGCGATGGAATAATGGAGTAATGGTGATATCGTCCCCGGAAGGTCGTGATTATTGTTGTCGTTGGAGGGTTGTGGTGGTGTGATACAGAGAGAGAATGGAGAGATGAATGATTAGGATTTGGAAAGTGAAATGTCGTGGGTGGTGGTAATAAGGGTGTGTAATTGGACAAACTAATTTAATTACATAATATTATTATTTAAAATTAAATTTCACCTGATTTTTGTACAAATAACTTTTAAATTTCATTATGAAAATGAAACTTAAAAAACAGGGTGTGATATAATTTCTACCCGGTTCATCTGCAAAATTTGGGACGGCCCATAAATGGCCCAAACTGATCCAACTTCCTTTGTATTTCTTTTATTTTTCCTTCTATGCCCTCTCTAGGGTTGTTAAATGGGAAGCCAAGGGCGTGAGTCGAGCAGCATTTTGGCCATGCCTGCCGCACGCTGGTAAACTTGTCAAATTGAGAATTTCAATAAAAAAAATATGACAAGTTGCATTTTTGTTGAGCAATCGGCTCGTGCTTGACTCATTTTACAGGTAAGCGCGAACCAAGTTGAGTCTGACATTAGGCGAGTTGAATGGTTCGTCTCGTCCTATTTAATTCCTCTAACTCTTTCTATATAAAACTGGGAGTGGGCGCGATCTGATTTGGTCCGGTTCCAAAAGAAACCGAACTGAACCGAATACCAATGAAAATTTTAGAAATAGAACCATTGGTCCATAGCTAACTGTGAAACCGAACCGGAACCGAACCAATCGATTCCGATATGGTTCAGTCCGGTTCTTTACATTAAAAATGTCAAAATAAAATGTTCACTAATAAAAACTCTAAAAATGCTACAAACATGATATTTTTAACAAAATATAGAAAAATCGAACATACCATTCAAAGATTTATTTAGGTATAAATTTACAAAGTGAAAACAATATAAAAATCATGTAATCAAAGTGAAAAAAAAAAATTCGCATCTTATAAATGAAATTATATATAGTAAATAAATTTATTTAGGTATATATTTACCCAATATTCTAATTTGGCTTGAAAATCAATTAATCAAAGAATTATAAAAAGAGACAAGGAAAGAATCAAAGAGAAGAAGGGAAGTGCTCGAGTCTAAAATTAAAAAGGAACCCGATTATTTTTTATAAAAATGTTAGAGATTGAGTCATATATTTTATCCAAAAAGATAAAAAAATCCAATGAGAACCTTCTGGTTTCCACGGTTCCCATACTAGAACTAGGAACTAGACCGGAACCAATTTGAGCCAGCATCTATTTCTACAATTATAGAATATGTTAGCATAAATTATGATTATTTACATGTGATAGTTACTTTTGAATGTGGAATCATTATCCTAACTGCATGTTAAGTATTGTGGATTGAAAATAACGAAAAAATTAAAAATTTATTTATTATGTTATACATTTTCTGTCTTCTAAACAAATCCCAATTGAATTAGATTGCATATCTTAGTAAACCAAAATTCTCTTGATCGATCGATCGATTGTTATGAGAGCTACACACCAAATACGTTAATAAGAGTTGGTTGTTATTTATGATGGAATTCAACATGTTATGATTTTTAATTGAAATATGACATTGCCTGAAAATTTTATGGACAAATTTGAAATGTCCTTTGTACAAGCATTCTTAAATTGACGTTGATTTTTCATCTTTTGTCCTCACCAAAGAAAAATGTACGATTAACTTGCGACCCTTCTTGATTGTGTAAAATCCTTAAATTTTAGAAATTCTATATCGTAAATTCTTATGTTGATGTGTGTACATGTATATCACTTGAATTTATTTAGTTTTACACAAGCTTGAATTAGAATAATAGAAGCTTCGACCATTTGACTATTTTTATTAGTGTATAAATTTGACAATTTCTTTTATAGTATCATTATAAAAGTATTTAAGAACAATCGACGGCTGAAGAAATTTCTAAAAATTTATATTAATTTCTAGAATGGAATGTTCATCAAAGACCTTGAATTAGTACATGTTGGCTACAAAAATACACAAGTTTTGGTTGTTGCAAAATTGATTTAGTAATGTGGGCTAAATAGAAAAAGTCTTTGATTACCTAAACTTTGACCAAAGGGGCCGGCCGAATTTTCTGACTTGCTAAATGTTGAGGTTGTAATTTTTCTATATTGTGTGCTAAAGTTGATTGCGTGTTTGTTAAATTTATTTAAGATCGTAATTGAATATTAGGGTTTTTGCACGTTCGGACACATGTTTTTACGAGATAGATAATTGCAAGTTTATTAAGGATCTGTTTGAGAGTGATTTTGAGAATTGATTTTTTGATCGTTAGGAGAAAAGTGGGATCTACCTGTGAGAAAAGAAGTCAAATATGACGGCTAAAATAGTAAAATAACGATAAAAAAATCAATTTTTTGGATTGTCAAATCGCTCCCAAACAGGCCCTAAGTTTTCATGAATGCACCAAAAGAAAAAAAAATAAAAAAGAAGTTAAAATGAACTCTTTAAAGAGACGAAAGAGTACTAAAAAGAAACAATATTGGCTTCTCGGGGCATAGTCCAGTGGTGCAAAGGACACGAGTGAAGTTATCTCACGCCTTGCTGGCAGATGCAGTATGAGAGTTCGATTCCTGAGACATGAATGAAACATGAAATTGGACTTCTTGTAGAATCAGTGTACAGGCAGCTCTTGTTCTCTGGTCTGTTGGAGCACATCCCGTGATTTACCTCCCTCACAAAATTTTAGAGACGGACTGATGAAGCCCTCAAAGTTGGGGTTCAACCTTTTTCTTTTTTTTTTTTCTTTATGAAACAATTTTGATACGACGTTGCCTGTGTATACATTTTTAGAACAATGCCACCGTCTTGACCTTTCCATGCACGTACACACGTGTATTTATTCAGAAAAAACGCGTAGAGTCAAATTGGAAAAATTAGACAAAAAGTTCAGTAGAAATAAATGGTTGTAAAATAATTATTTCATGGAGATATTGTTGTAAGTTCGACAAAGAAGAAAAATGCGTTATTCTCCTTTTATTTATTTATTTTTTTGGCTCAAGCTATAAAAATTATGTTTCGGTGAACATTTAAATAATATAATATTAGAATTACCTTGTAATTATACAATCTCGAAATATATAACACATTATAAAAAATTGAGACGGCTAGCATTTTAATTTATTTAGAAAATTTTAGTTGAATTTGCATCACATCAACGACTGTGAAAAAAAGAGCTGAGATTTGTTGCATACATTTCTGTTACTGCTTTATTGAAGCTGACAATATAATTCTTGTTAGCATATGAGAAATGAGAAACTGCCAACACATTATATTAGATATGACATCATCTTGGGCGTTTTTTTTAAAAGTAATACTATTCGTAGTTGCTCACTGCGGCAGTCGTCCTACGTAACATACACATGACAGATGATTATTTGATACATTAATGTGGTAGTTTTTTATTCATTAATGCATCAAATAACCACCTACCATGTATATGTCACATAGGTCGATTGCTGTAGTGAGCGACTGCAAATAGCATTATTCTTTTTTTAATTGCTAATGAGAAACGAGTGTAGCGATCTATCAAGCAAAGAAAAACAATCAAAGAGGCAAATGTGGAATTTTCATCAAATTCGGTAACAAATTGTTTTTGTTGTGATTTGAATTGTATCAGAGTTACTTTACCTTGTAACAAAGTTAAGTCAAATGAGTAGAGCGAATTATTAACGAATAATTGATTTGGATTCGAGTCACGTGCAAGTAATTATTTTTATTTTAAAGTAAAGTGGGACCAAACACAATCAAAGACGAAACATGATATTAACAAATGACAAACAAGTTACTATATTTGAACCTAATTTTAACCTAAAAGTCTGACATTTTAGACTTTCTCAACCATAGAAATGAAGAAAAGAGATTATTAGATTCATATGTTGTTTGAAGGCCAATTCCCTTTAAATTTGTACGCAATAGCTTTGTTTAGAGAAAAATAATGAAGCGTAAAAATATAAAAATATGAAATTTATGGATCATCAAAACTTTTCACTTTATGTTCACTACAAACTCTAATGATATCTTGGACGGCCTTCCTTTTGCAATGGATTAATTTCTATCTACATTAACTTTGCAATATGATTGTATAAATGCAATGACATCCAAACCTACATTCGTAAGAGGGTGCTATCAAGTCCAAAATTCTCCAACTCGGGACCTTCTTCACCGGTTTCATCTGCTCTCGCATTCTACACAAAGCAAATGCTCCGGCCAAACAAGCTTCTTTTCACCGACCACTATAAAATTTGGATTATCTTATAAATTTTTTATCTTCGAATGCTTGTTAGTAACACATAAATGTTATTGCAATTGCAAGTTATCATTATTTTAAGAAACGTAAAACATGATTAGACAATAAAAATTTAAAATCAAGGTTTAAATTTTCACGAATTTATTCGAGCGCGGGGCTTAATATAAAAAAGCGTGTGATTAAATTAAAGGTCAGCTTCTCCATACATTTATACCACGGTACCCGGTACAAAAACAGCAAAGGTCAGCCTTCTACATTCATTTCATTTTATATTCAACCATCCCGGCCACTCTTTCCCTCCTGGTTTCGTGTTCATTTTATATTCAACAATCCCCGCCACTCTCTTTCTCTCTCCCTCCCGGTTGCGTGCTCATTTTCTCCACGAAAATTCATTTCATTATCGCTTCGTACCATTTCCCCAGAATATTCCATCTTCTTCATTTTCCTAGATTTTCTTGAACCCCATTTCAAGAACAAATTTCCATTATTTTTTTTTTCCTGAATTTTCTTGACAATAACAAACGACACATCCTATTTTCTTGAAAAGGCTGGTTTGGGTTTTAGTGCGTGGTATAAGTAATCTTATAAACAAAAAATGGGAAGTAAATGGAATAGAGTGAAGCTAGCACTGGGGATGAATCTGTGTATCTATACACCAAGGAATCAGACCCTGGACAATGATGATGAGGATGATTCTTTGCCGCCAGCACAACCACCCGAGAGGCGTTCCAGCAATGCTTTGACATCGCCAGGGGCCGTCGGGACCGCTGCACCGTTGTCGCAGGGATTAAATCGGCTTAGGCTTTCTAAGAGTTTGAGCAGACCTTCTTCAAAGGTTCGGTTGTTTCTTGAACTTATATAATTTATTCAACTTTATATTTTTCAATGTGCAAGTTATATTCTTCTCGGGTATGCAGCTTTATGGTGAAAACTGGGAATCTGTTTGAGTTCTTTATGCTAGTTAACGTGTTTTGTGGGTGAAGAATAGGTAGAAATTTGTTAAGGAAGATTGGATCTTTATTGTTGATGTCAATGAGAAATTTGAGTTTGTTGGGAATGTTTTGGTGTATTTGCTTGCTGAAATAAAAACTGACAAATACAAAGTTACCGAAAACCGTTGGGATAATCTTAAGATTTTCTTGTGTTTGTCGATGTAGTTTTTGTGACAGAAAATTGATTTCTCTTCAGCTTGTTTTGAGTATAATCTGTTGAGAAAAATGTAAGAAAATCTGAAAACTTAATGAACTTCAAAGCACGAAAAACGTTATCTTTTAAGTGATGTTTCTCCCCTATCGAACGAAGTCACGATTGGGGTATGATAGAAAATCTCTCTCAGGATACAATGGAGGCGTTTGATTCAAATTGTAACTATTTGATCAAACCAAGAAAACACTCGAAAAAGAACTGATGATGCCAAGAGAAAGAGAGAAGAATATTTTTTTTAATGTGTTTTGCAAATGAGAATTCGCCCAAAATTTATAGAAATTGAGGCAACCGTTTGAATAGGTGTGTCCCTTGAAATGAAGAACAGATCTGTTGGAAGTAACTGTCAAAACGAACAGGTCGATCCCCGTTGCGCAACGTCAAACATTAGTCGGGGCGGCAAATCATTCGCAAAACAAAAAAATAAATACATACAAAATGATGAAAAACATCTAACATAATAATCTTTCTTTTATTTCCTTTCTGTATTTCTGTTTGTGTTTAGAACAATTCGATGGAAGTAGCAAAATAAAAGAAAGTTCGACTGTCTTTTCTGTTTAATGAACTTAACATAAGTGATATTGCTATTTCTTTGATCGTATTTGAATTCTGCTGTATACGATTACCGAAAAATCGAAGCGATCAAAGGAGTATAAGTTCTGCATATAAATTAGGTTTGCATCGTTTTCTATTTTGTTCTGCTGCTTCTTTAATTTTATGTTTGTTTAGAAATTTTCTGCTCGTATAATGTTTTATATGTTCTGTTTATATTTGGTTCATATTTCCCACATGTGTTTTCATTTGATTTTCAGAAGACCTGCTCAATATGCTTAGGATCGATGAGACGAGGAGAGGGTCATGCCATATTCACTGCAGAATGTTCGCATTCCTTTCATTTCCATTGTATTGCTTCAAATGTCAAACACGGAAACCAGATTTGCCCGGTTTGCAGAGCAAAGTGGAAAGAAATTCCTCTGCAGAGCCCGAGCCTGGATCTTCCAGTTCGAAGGGCAAGATTCAATCGTGAAGGTTCACTCCAGAATGATGCTTTAATGCCAAGGCCCCGTCAATTACCTCCTCGACGCAATGCATCACTATTTCACCGCCCTGAGCCAGCAATTTTCAACGATGACGAGCTGTTGGATTGTCAAATTGACTCATCTGGGAGAGGCTCGTCAAACAAGAATGCTGAAGATCGTGATGACCGGAGTAGAGTTACGATTAAGACATACTCAGAATATCCAGCAGTTCCACAGTCGAGTGCATTTGATGACTTCACCATCTTGCTTCATCTGAAAGCTCCTTCTTCAAATTCCAGGGAAATTCCCAGTGGGGACCAGGATAGTTTGACCCAAATTTCTCCAACTTGTCGTGCTCCGGTTGACCTTGTTACTGTTCTTGACATCAGTGGTAGCATGGCAGGTGCAAAGCTTGCATTGTTAAAGCGCGCTATGGGGTTTGTGATACAGAATCTTGGTCCGAATGACAGGTTGGCAGTAGTTGCCTTCTCATCAAATGCCCGCCGACTTTTCCCCCTTTTAAGGATGTCCGAAACGGGACGGGAGCTAGCATTGCAAGCCGTTAACTCTTTGGTTGCAGTTGGAGGGACAAACATTGCCGAAGGTTTGAGGAAAGGTGCCAAAATAATGGAAGATAGAAGGGAAAAGAATCCAGTTTCCAGTATAATATTACTTTCTGATGGGCAAGACACAAATTCAGTCGGTAATGCTGATGGCAATAGGAATCAACCAGCTTGTCAGTTACTCCTTCCTTTGTCTCTTCACACCGAAGACAGTTCCAGTTTTAAGATTCCAGTCCATGCTTTCGGATTTGGTGCAGATCATGATGCATTGTCAATGCACTCAATTTCTGAGAGTTCTGGTGGAACTTTTTCTTTCATCGAGACTGACAGGGTAATCCAGGATGCTTTTGCACAGTGCATCGGAGGCCTTCTGAGTGTTGTTGTCAAGAACCTGCAGGTCAGCATCGAATGTGTTCACCCTAGAGTGCATATTTGCTCTTTAAAAGCAGGAAGTTATCCCAATCGCATGATGTCTGATCAACGCACAGGATCTGTGGATGTTGGAGATATTTATGCTGATGAAGAAAGGAACTTTCTGGTTTCGGTCAGTGTCCCGGATGAGTTATCAAGCGATGAAACGTCATTGTTGAAGGTGAGATGCATTTACAATGATCCCTTAAAAAATGAAGCGGTTAGCTTAGAAAGTGAAGAAGTTAGAATTATGAGACGTGCAGTGGCTGGACAAGAGGAAACATCCATTGAAGTTGATAGACAGCGGAATAGGCTTCGAGTAGCTGATGCAATGGCACAAGCCAGAACTGCTGCTGAAACTGGAGATTTAGCTCGTGCAGTTTCGATCCTCGAGAACTGCAGGACATTGCTGTCGGAAACGGTGTCTGCTAAATCTCAAGACCGACTCTGTATTGCACTCGATGCCGAGCTCAAAGAAATGCAAGAGAGGTTAGCAAGTAGACGTGTATATGAGACATCAGGAAGGGCATACATTCTGTCTGGACTGAGCTCACACTCGTGGCAGAGAGCGACAGCCCGAGGCGACTCTACAGATGGCTACAGCCTCGTTCAGGCCTATCAAACACCTTCAATGACTGATATGCTTACTCGTTCTCAGGCTACCTTATCAAGAACAAAGCCGAGATAAGTACAAATTTTGACTTGGGTTGGATAAGCAGTTCAAACAGTTTTTCATCTTTCGATGTCTTCCCTTCTGGTAATCGGAAGAAATAAAAATTGTAAAGGGTCCAGTATATTTTTGAGAAGAGAACAGTAACTAGGTTCACTTGTATTTAACTGGTGTACTATTGGGGGATGTATATTAGAAGGTAGGCCTTTCCGTCTTTGAGAGGATTGGATATAATTTTAATAGTTAATAATAGGAGACCTCTTTACATTATACTATAATAATACTGCTATTTGAATCTTCCCACGAAGTCTTGTCAATTCCTAAATTCCCACTCTTGATTTCTGTAAAAATAAATTGCATGAGATTCTATATTTTTGTTCTTCGACGCAACTTTTTGAAGAAATTCAAACCATAGTTCTCAAAATGTCACGGATTAGTATGGGAGACTGGGAGTTATAATAAACTGCAGCAGCAAAGCAAAATTCCATTTGGACGAGCTTCAAAAATACTCAAGTAATATTTCAAACATTAGAGTATGGATTAACAGCAAAGTGATACTGAAAGGAAAGAGAAACATATAATATAACAGAAAATCGAGTACTAAAATAAGTAATCCATGAATCAGAATGAAAAGAATACGATCAAATAACTGTTAGTAGCTTCCAAGAGAAAAAATCGACACGATTACATAAGTTTTTTTAAAGATCAGGTATTTGATCATCCAACTTACATGTGTCGTGATTTTGTTTTCCATTTGAAACTGCTTTTCTAGGCCTTTTCACTTCTAGGCCTTTGCTTTTTACTTCTAGGCCTTTGCAGGGCATCTTCACTGACTTTAAGTCGAAAGACTTAGTCTTAAATTTTACTGCAAATCTGTTAAAGAAATTGTCCCAACTCCCCTTAGTCTTTACGAGCTTCTCTATCTCTTGTTTCATATTCAAGCACTCCTTTTCAAGCTCAGAGACCCGTCCATTCATGTCATTAACCGTGTCAATCTGTTCACCTCCAGAACTTACGGGAACCATGCAATCATCTCTTGGTACTAGATTCTCACTTAGGTTTTGTGAATTCTCGAGGTTGTCAGAGACAAAAAGCCAACCAGACACAGATGTACGCAGCCGGAGCTGTTCAAAGAACAGAACTTGGACGATGACGCGCAATGGTAGCCTCTCATTCTGAGCTGCATGGGTGCTAGCTTCCAATGACAACTTCTGGCAATTCATGATCCTACAGAGCTGTTCCCTTTCCGAGTCTGTTAGCCATGGATGTGCCTGAAGATACAGAAACCCATCAACATTAGAACAGAGAAGATTGAACTAGCAATATTGAATTTACTAAAAGAGCAATACTAGCATCTATGTGAGTTATCAAGGCCTGATAAGTTTACAGTTTTCCGTATATGAATTAGCTTTGATAATAATAATAATAATAATATATATAGCCTCCACACTAGGGTGCATGTTCAGTTTCTCCACTCGTTAGTAGCTTAATCTTTTAGCTGAGGTTGTTCAATTACATCGTGCAACTAAGCCTCCCCACCCCACTGAGTGCCTGCTTGATACCCATGTTATGTTTTGCAATACTTTCAAACATTAAAGAGCACAAGAGGTACTTGAGAACCATTTAACTAAGGAAAAAAATCTCATGATGCTGGTGCTCTCTTTAATTCATTAATCCTAGATATATCCAAATCAATTGCACAAGCAAATTCCAGTCAGGTTCCAACAAGTTTCGCATATTCCACATATGAATATATGTCGTGTTAGAGTGTATATCTCTCCGTATTTGTGGATGTGTAATTATTGAAAGAATTAACATAGACTACTTACCTTTAGGTATATGTCAATCGCACGGTAAATTCCATCATCAACAGGCCGGGCATATTCTGGAATTACAGCAGCAAGGGACAGGAATTTCAATAATTTCAAGTTAACATCAGGTGCCACTTCAGCTAGATAGCTGTCCACAAGATTTGCCAGCATTTTCATTGGTGTAAATGAATGAGAATCTCCTACAAACTGGTCCTCGTTCGCCAGAGGGTTTAAGGTATCCTGATCCATCAACACAAAATGATCGACGATTCGCTGAACACAGTCTATGTCATAAAGGGTCTCCATTGAGTAGCCCATGTTTGGTATTAGAAGATCTTCCAGAACTGCTTGATCGAATTGGGCCCCGATTTTCCTTTCCAAATTCTCTCGACAAGATGTACTTGCCTGTAGGATCATGGATGTTCGCAGAAGTTTAAGCAGGAATTTGGTGGGCGTCACACGCTTTTGATTTGGTAGTAACCAAACTATCTCTTCAAGAAGGGTCCTCTGATCTGCATCAGATGTAATGTGAAGCGTTGATCCATGCGTGCGGTTGTCTCCATTCTGAAAGCTCGATTGCCTACCATTTAAGGGGAGATATCTCTTGGCATAGAACATTACCACCTCAGCAATTTTCTGGGGTTTCATGCCTTTAGTAGCAACAGCCAGTATAAACCTCTTGAAGAAAGGCAATTTAAGAAATGCCGCGTCCTCATACCACCAATCCTCAGTTGGGGTACGTTGGTTGGAAGTCGAGTGTATACCATTCCATAGAACAGTACTGACTGGACTCTGAGCGCCACTTCGTCCTGACATAGGCCTACTCATAAGAATTGGTTCTGCACAAGCTTTCGTTGCCAGGCGATCAATGCATCGTGAAACTATATGAAGTTCTTCTGCAAGGGGAAGGCTGTCTTCACAAGTTTCGAGGGCTTTAAAAGTGTCTACCCAACTTCCAAATACTTCATTGAGAAAACTTTCGGCTTGTTTAATAAGGTTTCCTTCTCCATAATCTTCATTCATTTCAAGATACTCAGCCGCACACCTAAGGCTGACCACATTAGTCACTGTGAGTTCAAGTTTAACGTCATAACAGAACTTGGCTATGAGCAAAAATGTTTTTGCTCCGCCAGGTATAGTTTGAAGTTCCAAAACACATTTCTCATTCTCAGGAAATTCTCGGATAAGTTTTTCCAGAAACCTGCTCCGGGACAACAGTGGAAACTGGAATATATGGACAAAAGGAGTCAAAGACAGTCCACAAGCAATAGATAAAGGGCAAGAACAGAAGGAAAAAGTGTCAAAGAGAACTGAAAGTCTACATACTATATTCTACATGGAAATGCTGAGGATTAAACATGCCATGAACTTATGGACTTCAAAGAACACGCTGATGTTTCTCATGCATACAATGAGTAAGATCTCATTTAAAAGAAAATGTGAGGCAATTCATGAAGGCGGCTTATGTGGTTTATTCAACGCATTGAAATACAAGAACAAATGCATTTCCAGAGATGTTCTATGCTACATGTACATTATTCTCTTTTCTGCACTCGCTTGTTGCTGGCAAAGGAAAGGAAAAACGAAAGATAAAGAAACTGAAAGAGGAAACACGAGAAGGGTGAAAATATGCTGCACTTCATTAACAATACGTGTTAATGTACAGTCGAATTTTCGAACTCCACATATGAATAAGACCTTGTGAAGACGGAAGGACTTTTCTCCAACTTCAATGCAAACATCACTGGAAAGCCCAGTGGAGCAGAGCCTGCACAGGAAAATCTATTTTTAGAAAATTTGAATTCTTTAGAAGCCAAAATATTTGCACAACCAATGCATCATATGAATCTGCTATGGCACAACAGCATCAGTGTATCTATATAGAAACTAATAATCCAGTGAAGTACACATTCCCAGTGAGAAAATATATGGGTTAAACGATATCATAGATGGCTTTGACGGATACATAGCGCTGTACAATTTACAAGAACTTCTGATGTGGGGTATACATTGTACAAACTTTTCTACCATTAAACAGAAGTGCCAATATATGACACAATTGCACAACAAAAAAAAGAAAAAAATGAAAATTACACAAAAAAAGAAGTTCCAAAATCAAAGATTTATTTAATTAATCAGACAACAATACTTATACCCAAATTTGATGTCCGTGCCTAAATGTAATGACTCCAATAGTTGAGGCTTCAACTGTGGATTTCTAACGATTTAGATATCCTCTACTTTTAAGCCAGTTTTAAGACTGAATTCTTCGAATATCACTATTCCTTCCCAAAAAGAGCAGGTTTAGGAAATTAGCTTCAAACATATTAATGACATATACACAATTACACTAAAAAACAACAAATTGTAAAGATAATCCCATTCTGTCAAAATTATAGAAATCAAACAAAAAAACACCATTATATCCTAAAATTCGAAAAAATTGAAAAATATGGGTTCAAAAATTCTCAGATCACGGACAATGACTAACCAGGTGTGGCCATCAAGAAGAAAAACGTCGGCTTTGGAACCCAACTTCATGCATGCCATGTAGTGTCACTCAGCACTGATTCACTACTTATATCACAAATGCAATATATAAATTATCCTAATTATGCAAATATATATGGATATATAAAACTATCACGAACGTGGAAAGAGAGTGCAAGTAATTGCGGGGTTGACAATGAATTGGTAAAAATGAGTTTTTATTTCATCTACGTGACCTTATTTTCTGTGGATGGAGAATATGTAGAGACAGAAGAAAATTGGGATTGTCCCGAGTCTAAAGGATGATAAATCCAGGAGAGAAATGTGATGCTGCTGTTACAAAACAGAGGGTTTGTTTGGATTCAAGATTGATGTCATAAACTTGATTTTATTGAATTTCTTGCTATACGATAATTAATGCTTTTTAATTTATGTAATGGAATCAAGAAAATAAAGTATTAGGTCTTGAAATGACCAAAACCGAAATAATTAAATTTTATTGGGAAAATTCCGCTTTGAGCTCCATCTTGTTCGGATTTTCGTTTTCTTGTGCTTTTGGCAGCATGCACTGCAGTGGCTGGTACGTTGGAGTGACCATTCCTGGACGGGCGGGGGACCAAAGGGTTCCTGATTTTGAGCTAGATTAATTTGTTTTAGATAAATTGCATTTTGGTCCCAAGTTTTAGAGGAAGTGTCATTTGTTTTTTACTATTCTTTTTAGGTCCTAGCTAGACTTCACAGTTTTTGGAAATGTTTTCTTTATAGGCAGTTTTTGTCTAAAAATTGGAATAAATTTGATAAATACTCTTTTACACTCATTTTCAGATAACAAGAGTATTGTTATTTCACCCCCATTTGTTTTCCATTTTTTCTTCATTAAAATGAAAAATATGATCGTTATTCATTACTTCAAACCACCAAATTTGAATTTCTATCTCTTGTATTGGTTTCAAAACGATTATATTCTTCATTCTCGTTTTACAAAAATGGGAAACAAACACCTCTTAGTCTCCGTTTGACCTCCATTAAATTAAATTTCATTTCTCTTTCTTCTATTTTCAATCACACAATTTTTCATAAAATAATATTACACATAAATCGAAAAAAATTTTTTCTTTTTCAATCGTTCACTTAAAAAAAAAATATTCCATCCATTTTAATTTGGAAAAATGGGAGCCAAATGGGTGCTTATCATCATTATCATCAATCATGTTTGTATTGTATAGAATAATAGCTCCAATAACATGTATTCTATGTTCCTACATTTGAATTAATTGGATGGGTCATTATGACAAATAACATTATTCTATAAATAAAGGCAAGAATCTCAATTGTCGATCGGATTTTTTCAGTTCGAAGCCCAAGCAGTTTTCAAAACGTTGATTTTTCATTAACTGCATGAAATTTATCATTTTCTCAGTCGAGGTTGTATTTTTCTGTATCATGATCTCTATAATTGCACTTGAGTTGTTAAGAAATTGCAAACTGTAAATTGACCAAAAACTTGACCTTTTGTAAATAATACTTCTGCTTGTTTTAAAAAAGATTATCAACTAACGTGAAATTTTTTACCATTTCTCGCTTCGGTACACGGGGAGCTACAAAAAATCCAATTTTGATCCCAAATCTTGTGAACTTCATACTAACTAACATATCATATAAGCTGACTATGCCAATATTGATATACCCCGAGGAGTGTATCCCGAGGACTCAATCTATACCCCACCTCATTTCTCTTCTTCGGTCNACCATACATACCATAGGCAAAGGAAGAAGAAGTACTAATGTGTTAATTAACTTTTCAAGAAATAATGTAACTCCATTAATCGTGTTGCCTTGTGAAGACGAACTAAACCTTGCTATAAGGGCCATCGAACATTGTTATCACTCTGTTCGATGTATAGCTCATACATCTCACATAATTTTTCTTCAAAGTATCATGTATGACTAGAAATACAAAAGTTAAGGGCCCATTTAATTTGTGTTTCAATTTTTAGTTTTTAGTTCATTTTCAAATTCCTGTCCCGAGAGTCTATTTTAAGATTTCTAAAAACGTATTTAGTTTGTCATTTTGAAAAATTATTTTTCAAAATAGAAAACTAGAAAAACACGCTTGTTTTGAAATTTTGAAAATTATTTTGACATTTTTTCAATAAAATTTGATTATTTAGTAAAAATAAATTTATTTCATGTTAATATATTATCGTGTAATATTACATTTTAAATTTGACGAATTTTATAATATTTTTTCTCGCAACAAAAGAAAATAAATATAAATAATAAATTGAGTTTAAAATATATGAAATAAAAAAAATTAATGATGTGGATTAAGAATATTTTTACCTGTGATCACTAAAATATGTTTTAGAATTTTTGAATAAATAATCATTAAAAGCTTGAACCATTTTTTTTTTTTTTGGAAATTTTTATAACTTTTAATTTTTGAATTGTTTTTCTTGATTTTTATTTTTTAAAATTTTAGAAATTTTATTTTTTACAATTTTATATTTTTATTTTGTTATATTTTTATATTTTAAAATTTTATTTTGTAATATTTTGAGTGTTTTCAAAATTTTAACTTAAACACTCAAAAAGTCAAAAATACGTTTTGAGTTTTACGTTATAAGTTTATCCTCGTTTTCGAAAATACATTTTTAGAAATACTTGGCCAAACATGTTTTCAGTGTTTTGTAAATCTGAAAAAAACTTGAAAATAGCAAACAAAATGCATCCTAGTTTATTAGAAACTCCTTTTATCATATATTTTGTACATTTCGAATTAAATATAATGTCCATTACTGAAGCTAAAGGAAATAAAATAGGCAGTTCCTCCAAATATTTTCAAAATTTAATCTCCATCACTACTTCGACATTTAGAAAAATGGGAAATGTCTTATAAATATTGAAATAATTGACTATATAATAAAAATGATTGAGAATGAGTGGACTAGTTAAATAATATATGCTTGAAAAGTTATATGTAGTATCGTAAAAAAGTTTTTAAAAAAATTCTCACATAACGAAATTTGCTAATCATATTATTGTAAATCAAATTCTAGACGGTGTGAGTGCGGTTGTTGTAACAAGCAGTGCAATATTTGTAGCATTTACAAGATTGTAGCATAAGATAAGTTGAATTTCATTACGTAACCTACAGCCGAGAGCAAATGTTTTAGCTCTTGGTTCATTTTCTATACATAAACCATTGAATATATGTTAGTAATACTTACTAGTAGAGATCGTAATATAGTTAAGAGTGTACCTAATTTTCCTAATTGTCCTTCTATAAATTTTAGCCCATCTTTCACAATTAAATTAAAAAACATGACAAATATATATATTATACCACCAAAATCGTGGTTGAATTGTCGAGCTAATTTATCAATTACTATTGTGTTAACGAAACATTATCAAATGTAAAACTACTGATTAAGTTTCACAATTAAATTCTATAATAATAATGCTCATTAATGTATTAAAATTATTTATTCCATTATGGAAACTTTAATTACTTTAATTAAATGCAATATTTTTTGGTAGTATCCATTGTTTGTCTATGTAGTATGCAATAACAACTAAAAAAAAAGGTTAAACCCCAATCTTGAGGGCTTCCATCGTCTCGTCCCTAGAGTTTTGTAAGGGAGGTAAATCGCGGGATGTGCCCCAACAGGCCAAAGAACAAAAGCTGCATGTACACTACGCCTACAAGGAGTCCAATTCCATGTTTCAAGAATTGAACCTCCACACTGCGCCTGCCAGCAAGGAATGAGATAACCTTACTCCTATCCTTTGCACCACTAGGCTATGCCCCAGAGGGCAGAATAGCAACTATATTACCTTCGTGGTAATTATCGAACCACAAGTTAGACATAAATGATAAAAATCGGCATATATATTGATGGGGACATTTTCCAATATCCCCAATCACAACATTCCCGACGACTGTTTTTTGATAAAAGTATAAATCTATATGCGGTGTCCTCGGGCATGACCATCCTCGAGACAGTATGCCCGACCACATCTCATGATGCTTCGCGTATTGCAAACATTTGTCCTCGGGTATAGTCCTCGTGCACGTCCTCCCCTCACTACTGACGATTGTTAACCCTTTAGAATTCCTACGCAATTAGGAATCTTAACTCCCACAAGAATCCTATCTCACGTATAATTCTGGAATTCAACCAACTCCTTAACTATTCAGAACTTCAACAGATGAGGACATCCAGCTAGTTGAGTCCAATTAGGAGAATGTCACTTACTACTATAAATACAGAACCTTGAACCATTATTCAGGTACGTTTTTCATTGTTCTTCAGCGCATAGCCTCACGCATATATTTCCCTTTCTGACTTAAGCATTGGAGGGGCGACGAGAACACACCTCGTTGCCTTTGTTTCAGGCATCGAAAGATCACGTTCGTGCTCCTCATCCGTCATCAAGCTCGGAAAATCTACAGGTACGATTTTTGGTAGCATCATTGGCGCCGTCTGTGGGAATCGCTACCAAAAGCCATGGTAAACACACGTTCAGGTCTTCCACCAGCAAGCTCATCCGCTCCAAACCAACCCCTTCCTGAGGATATCCCTGTTCCTCAAGAGGAATCATCAGAAGTGCCGGAGCCCCAGCCGGCAGTCGTCACTACTGGAGCCTTTGAAGAGCTCAGACAACAGGTCGCCGCACTGACTCAGCTGCTAAGTCAAAGAAATTCGCATCCGTCACCCACACCAGCACCCCATGGGGGTTTTATGGCTGATGCTCGAGCTCGAGCACATGTCCCTGACAATGGCAGAGCAGGGGCCTCGGGTATACCACATGTGACCTCGGCCTCAAGATCAGTGACCATGGAGTCCGGGGAACTCGCTAGGATTATTCAAGAAGGAATTACGGCGGGCCTACTTCAGGGCAACAAAGGGACGACAAGATTCAGTCCCAAC